GCAATATACCACCACACCTGTTATACTTGATATTAATTACTATCAATAACTGTTCAACGACACATCAAACATCACAGCAATTGCATCCATAGCTATGCATATACATAAGTTATAGGATGGCTGCAGAGGGCTGAAGAGAGCCCCGTTCATCAGAGTTCGAAGAGGCCCTTGCTAGAGGTGGAGGTGGATACAGGTGGTGCCTGGAGGTGGTCAGGTCAGAGACTACCAAACCCAGCTGGAGAGCAATAGAGTAACAGAGCTGAGCTGCCCAGGGGCAGAACTGTGGAAGGCCAGGTATAGGACAAGGTCCAGACAGATGGACAGATGGACAGGCAGACAGACAACAGTGCGAGCGGGCTGCCTCGAGCAGAGGGTTCCAAGACGGGGTGAAACTTGAGACAGTAAGGAGTTCTGTGTCTGTCAGTCCCTGGACACACCCACATCCCGCACAGTTGGATGGCAGGTTGATGGGGCCGTTGCCATAGCAACTTTAGGCGTCCTTTTTTATAGGGTTCGAGGTATTCTACCTTCTGTCAGACTGGTATGCTTGATCAGTTCTAGAGCCTGGTTTTTCTGATATGGTTTATGTGCACTGTGTGTGTGTGTGAAGACATGCCATGTGTGTGCTGGTGCTCACGGAAGGCAGAAGAGGGTGTATGAACCCCTAGAACTGGAGTCACAGGCAGGGTGAACCCACTGGCCGTCTGAGCCAGCTCTCTGGTAGGGTTAATATGCCTGTGTGCTACTATGTTACCACTTTTCTTTAGAGCTGACATCTTTTAAGGATAATTGATTAGGCTGGCTGGTGATGGCGCACGCCCTTAATCCCAGCAATCAGGAGGCAGAGACAGGTGGATCTCTGTGAGTTTGAAGCCAGTCTGGTCTACACAACAGTTCCAGGTCAGCCAAAGTCATATAATAGAGAGACCCTGTCTCAAAAAAAAAAATCAGAAAAATAATGATTGCTTAGGGGCCAGAAAGATGGTTCAGTAGTTAGGTGTACTTCCTGTTCTTGCTGAGGATGTGGGTTTAATTCCCAGCACCCACACAGAGGTTTACAGACATCCATAACTGCAGTTCTCGGGGATCCGACGCCTTGTTTGGCCTCCAGACACATGTAACATACAAACACGCAGGCAAGCATTCACATATATAAAATAAAAGTAAATATTTTATTTCTTTAAATTTTTTTCTTTCTTTTTCTTTTTTTTTTATTTTTGAGACAGGGTTTCTCTGTAGTTTTTGGTGCTTGTCCTGGAACTAGCTCTTGTAGACCAGGCTGGCCTCGAACTCACAGAGATCCACCTGCCTCTGCCTCCCGAGTGCTGGGATTAAAGGCGTGCGCCACCACCTCCCGGCTGAAAGTAAATATTTTAAAGAAAGTATCAGTCTGTGTCTCACGGTGCTGGGCTGGTCGTTGTGCAGGAGATACAGAGCCATTTGCGCTCAAAGTGAACCCAAATGGAGCTTGTGAAATGCAGTCACCCAGGGCGAAGCACAGCCTGAAAGCCAGTCTCACACAATGTGGACTAACTCAGAGCAGGGCGCAGCCTTCTCTTGGAAGCCTATTTGGCTCCCATTTCTTAACTGAAACAATGTCCAAAGTCCATTTAATGACAAAGTATATGGTGATCTTTAATCCCTTACAAAGTCCAAAAGACAGATTTCCTATTTGGCTCTTCCTGGCAAAAGTGACTTCTTAGCACAGCAGGAAATGGGTACAATTCATAGAACTGATCCTCAAGGGGACTGGGAAAGGGTTACCTCCCAGGGTTGGTTTTAAAGCAACCTCTTCCAACAGCAGCGGCCAAGAAATGCCTTTTACTTACCTACATTCTTCTGCTCAGGCAAAAGGAAAGAGAAAGGACTTAATTTCTCTACATGGTTTGTATTTTGTGAAATAAGTTTTTTTTTTCTATTGGAGTCACAGAATCTTAGCATTAAAAGGGAATTTTCCTTTAAATTTGAGGCAATCCTCCTGCCTCGGCCACCAACATGATACGGTAACAGGTGTGGGCTAGAGTCTGGGAATTTTCATTAGGTATAATCCTAATTATTAGGTATAATAAACTGCGAGTCGAGATTGGGAAATAGAACTGAACTATGGAGAAGCTCACCTCGCCCCACCATCCCCAACCCCACTTAGCCCTATGAACTGTGGATTTGTGGGTGATGGAGCCACATGGGACAAGACTGAGGTAGGCTGGTGCTTAGCCACATGGAACCTCCTGACTAAGTCAGTCATGGTAACCTTGCCTCGGCTGGGAACATTGCTCAAGTGCAAGGTCAGAGGAGCCCCAGAAGTTATCTTCCGCTCCTCACTGTGGGCCGCCCAAGTCGGGTAGTTATCGGAGTGTGGTGTTGGCACGGACTCTTGGACTCAGGCTGTTAAAATAACAAGTTTCAATATCAAGACACCACTCACGAAGTACTTTTTGCTCCGTGCTAAGGAGTTTTCCTGATGTCTGAAACCAATCAGGGGTTCTGTTGTTAGCAGTGGAGGTGGGGAAGGAGATACAGCCCGAGGGCTCCTTTCCGGAGGTCTGCCTGCTTTGGCTGAGATTAGGAGTGTGCTCAAACCCGGGCTTCTTCAAAGAGAAGACTCTCAGGGTGAGTTGGTGTGAAGCGAGTTGGGAGTTCATAAAGAAGAGATTTTGTTTGCACATGGACAGCAGTAGAAAGGCACTCGGGGAAAGGACAGTAGGCAACCACGTGTGGGTGTGGACGTCTCAGGAAGACGTGTGGGCGTGGACGTCTCGGGAATTGTAGTTAAATGGCTGAGTCACGGCTGCGTGTTGACTGTAGAGGCTCTGGGATTCCAGGGCTCAAAATGTAAGGAAGGACTCCTTCCTTACATACACCCATCCTTTTTAATGGTTATAGAGTGGTTCAGGAGACAGCTTGGATAAGATTGCAATCTGGTGAGGTAAAACCCTGGGTCACAAAGGTTATGCAAGGGAGATAAGATATGTCTTTCACTAGGTGGAGTTTTCTCGTGAGATCACCAGGAAAGTATAGGCTTACAGCTGGGAAAAGAGAAAGATTATATCAGCTTAGTCCTTAAGTATGGGACATCCGTATTTTATTTCTTTTTATTTTATTTGGGTTTTCTTTGTAGCTTTGGAGCCTGTCTTAGAACTAGATCTTATAGACCAGGCTGGCCTCGAACTCACAGGGATCCGCCTGCCTCTACCTCTTATGTGCTGGGATTAAGGCGTGCACCACCCACCGCCCGGCTTGGTGCATCCATATTTTAAAATTCTTTTTTTTGGTAACAAACACAATCTCACAGAATTTATTGTCACATGATAATAACATAAGGGCCACCAAAATAATATGAATAAATGTTTCAGACTGTGTTCCCATCAGAAGACATCCTTAAAAACACTGTATGTTAGCAGGGCCATGGTGGCACATGCCTTTAATCCCAGCACTCGGGAGGCAGAGGCAGGTGGATCTCTGTGAGTTTGAGGCCAGCCTGGTCTACAGAGTGAGTTCCAGGACAGCCAGGACTACACAGTGAAACACTGTCTCAACAAAACAAAAACAAACAAAACCACTGTACTTCCTCTCATTTTCTCCTGTCCTCCACCATTTCTAGCTGGAAACACAGTGGAACAGAGTAGTATTTCCTTTGCGCATGATCCATCCAGTTGTTTCCTTGACTTGGTTTTAGAATGAATCTCGTCTGCGTCATTCAGCAAAGCCCATAGAACAACCCTCTACCTGAACATTCCCTTGCTCAGAGCCACCCTGGAGCCTGCGGTCTCCCGACATCACCTGAAGATGAGAATGGCTGGCTGGACCATCATCCTCGGCACCTTCTGGCCCTGGCTGCGGTGTACCCTGGTGGAAGAGTCACAAAGGCCACAGGAGGACGAAGGTGGCCTCAGAAAGCGACTTTCAGAACTGTTTTAACATTCTTATTTGAAATATCCCCATAGGCTAACTTCACAACGGATGATAATTGTGATGGATATCTTGACTCTCCGTTGGTGCGGACTTCCACTACAGGCTAGCACCCTTCCCAAGGCCCCTTAAACTCCCTTCTCTCCATCCTGCCTGGGAGTGACCCGGGAAGACGACCTCTCCAAGGTCCTGCTCCGGGTTTCCTTCCCACGCTGGATGCCAACACAAATAAGCAAAAAATGACTTCTAAGTATTTTAATATTTCACCATGAGGATCACAGAGGCATTAACTTGGAGGACTTCAGGCCTGAGAACCCCCACCACCACACCTCCCCGGCCCGCAGGCAAGATGCTTCAGCAGGTGAAGGTGCTTCCCGAGGACCCGATTTGGTCCCTGGGACCCACCTTGTGCAAGGAGAGCTAGAAAACCACTGCAGGTGGCTCTTGGACCACACAGGGGATGGGGTACATTGCCCCCATTAATGGATTTATATATAAATATAAAAACAAAAATAATAATTAATCAAATGCATAGGATAAAAATAAAAAACGAGAACCAACACTCAAAGTCTGGAAATAGCAGGGATAGATCAATAATAGTGTGAATATAATTAACAATCAATTTGCACATGTGAAACGTGCAGTATATATACATACATATATATGTATATATACACACACGTTTATACATACATGTGGAATATATACATATGTATATATATAAGTTTGCCATATATAATATGCTAATATATATTACATATACATGGTATGTATTGCACACTTACAAGAAAGTTTTGGGGTAGGTGAAGAAAGTCAAGGCTCCTACACCCTGTGGCACAGGTCAAATCTGGGTTCTCATGCCCACTCCCAGTTGATCAAAGCTCCTGCCTGGAGGGACATCTCCTCGCTCCTCAACTTCGGTCTCTCTCTTAGTGGTGCTTACAGAGATGACCTTCGGGGCTGCGCGGAGTTCAGTTTCCGGAGTGTGCCAAGTTCAAGCTGGCGACCTCAGGCCGGGCGCCGCGCGAAGCGGGAGCTGCCACCGGTGGCGCGGGGGTCGCCTGGAGCCCTGAGCTAGGACGCCGCGCGCGTGCGCAGTGGTCTCGGGCTCTGCTGACCGTTGTCCCCCTCCGCCGCTGCCCAGGGACGGCTCCCCTGCTGCCTCCCCTGCCTCCTCCCCCTCCCCGGCTCGGGTCACAGCTCCACAGCGCAGCCGGGGAGGGGAGGAGCCCTCCAGCGCAGAACCGGGGCTCTAGGCTCGGCCCGCCCAGAGGGGCGTGGGAGGGCGGGGCGGCGGACTTCGGACTCCAGCCCCCACGCTCCGCTTTCCCTGCAGCCCTCCGCTCTCCCGGGCCGTCAGGGAGCCATGTCGGCGCTGCTGGGGCTCCGGCCCGAGGTGCAGGACACCTGCGCCTCGCTGGGGCTGATGCTCTTGGTCGTGCTGCTCATGGGGCTGGCCCGCGTGATCGCCCGGAGACAGCGGCACAGGCCCACGGCCCACGCCTTCGTCCTGGAGTTTCTAGCCACCTTCCAGCTCTGCTGCTGCACCCACGAGCTCCAACTGCTGAGCGAGCAGGAACCCGCGCACCCCACCTGGACGCTGACCCTCATCTACTTCTTTTCCTTGGTGCACGGCCTGACCCTGGTGGGCACAGCTAGCAACCCGTGCGGCGTGATGATGCAGATGATTCTGGGGGGTATGTCCCCGGAGTCGGGGGCCGTGAGGTTGTTGGCTCAGCTGGTTAGCGCCCTGTGCAGCAGGTACTGCGTAAGCGCCCTGTGGAGCCTGAGTCTGACCAAGTACCACTTCAACGAGAGGAGCTTAGCTTGCAAGAATCCCATCCACACGGACATGTCCAAAGCGATCATCACAGAGGCCATCTGCTCCTTCATTTTCCACAGCGCTCTACTGCACTTCCAGGAGGTCCGAGCCAAGTTTAGCATCCACCTGCTGGCTGCACTCATCACCTTTCTGGCCTATGCAGGTTTGTCCTTCCCACAAAACACTAGGCTAGGCGGTACCAAACCCCCATGACCCGAGGTTCCAAGTTCTTTACCGATACATTTGAGCCCCCTACTCCGATGTGATGGAATACTTACTTGCACCTTTCCCCGGGCCCCTTATTATTATTCTGATCACCTTCCAGCAAGTGCCTAGCGGTTGACGCCAACATACAGATCGTCATTCAGTGTTGTTTTGAACACCCAGAGAAAGCAGACACTCCGGTGCCGAAACTAAGATGTCGTTAGATTACTGCCAAGGGCTTAGATAGCCTACGAGGGGCTGTTTTAATGTCAGAAAGGCGGCTTATCAGTTACGGCTCTCATGGCAAGCTGGTATAGATTGCTTTTGACACCCTTACTGAGAAATGATCCCAGCTAAAGTTCTTTCCAGCATGGTTGGTCAGGAGTTAAGAGTGGGGAGCAGAAGTTCTGTAGTGCCTTTCCTACTGGCCCTTGCCGTATTTCCCTTTGGAGAGCTACACGGGAATTTTTAAAGTAATCTAGCATGAAAGGTGTGTTTCAAAATTAAATTGTGTTCAAACATGCTCTTTAAAAACAAATAATTCTCAGCTAGGTGTGGTGGCGCATGCCTTTAATCCCAGCACTCAGGAGCCAGAGGCCAGAGGGTGATGGTAAATTCAAGGCCAGACCTTAGTAAATACTGAAATCCTGTCTACGGGAAACGAAACAAAAACCAGAAAAAAGATCTTCAGAAGTTCTATTTACTTATTTACCGGGACAAACCTCGGCTCTAGGAGAAATTCAAAAATTGTTTAATGATAAAAATGTGCCTTAGTGGGTCATTTAAAAGAACGAAATACTTTACTGGGATTTAGCAGAATTATAAAAATGTTTTAGAGGCATGAATACAATAAAGGAAACTTACAGTCTCTCTCCTCCCCATTGAAGGTGAAGCCGTGGGAAATGGAGCTCAGGGGTAAAGAGCTCTTCCTAGCATTCGTTAGGTTCTGGGTTCAGTCCCCCGTGTGGCAAACAAAATTCCTTTAAACTGGGGAAAGTATATACTTTAAGTGTGTGTTTGACTTCCTAGGGTAAAATGAAAGACTACACAATTTTCCCTTCTTTGAACCTAGTATTGTTTTTTAGCAGACACACATGAAAATCCATTGTGTGGGGTCACAGAAGAGGGCAGGTGCATATCTGAGGGGCCAGTGCGTCAGCTTCAGCTAAAGCAGAAACATTGCTATGCGTGAGCGGTGTTAGCCACAGTCTTGTATTTGCCAGATAAAGCAGCAAAGAGCCGGGCAGGTGATTCATGCCTGTAATCCTAGTACTGGAGAGGTGGAGGCAGGAGGATTAAGGTCATCTTCTGCTACATGGTGGGTGTGAGGCCAGTCTCTAAAAACAAAATATTTTGAGTTTTGTTTATAGTTATAAAAAAGAAAACCATTGGGGCGGTGGTGGCACACGCTTTGAATCCCAGCACCCGGGAGGCAGAGGCAGGTGGATCTCTGCGAGTTCGAGGCTAGCCTGGTCTACAAGAGCTAGTTCCAGGACAGGCTCTAAAACTACAGAGAAACCCTGTCTCAAAAAATAACAACAACAAAAAGAAAGCCATTCACGACCCCTGGCTCTCTCTCATTCTGCCTCATTCCCCCAGCCTCTGTTGACTGTTGTGGCGTTGGTGTTCTTCCTGAATTTTTATGTTTTTAGTACCAAGTTATGATTCCATAAATAGTATATATACTATTAACTGTTCCTGGACTCAGAATGTAGTTCAAAGAAAGAAAGCTGGCGTATGCACATGGCCCTGGTCTCACCCAAGGGGTAAAAGTGGCGTTCAAAAGAGAAGCAAAGTGACATTTGAAGTCATTCAAGTCAGCAGAGAAGGACTCTAGCATGCCGTTTCGAGGGCTCTGAAACTCTGCCGGTTTCCTGAATGTGACTACTCACCCGGGGGGGGGTAAACCAATCATCAGAGGGTCTCAACAATCCGTGTTCAGATCACCGGCGGCGTCGTAAAAATATGCCCACCTGGTGCAGAGATCCGCCTCTCACAGCTCTGGGAAGGAGCTCGGCAGTGGCACGGGTTAAAGTTCTCCCCAGGTGATCCCATTACGAAACCGCGGTTGTGAACTTGGCCACCTTGGCAGCCTAGCTCCGCATGCCTGTTTAGATGAAAGCTTCAGCACGGCAGGCAGCAGGCCCATTGCAGGTCCGCTCACCGCACTGCGCTGTAGCTGGTGGGCTACGGCATTGGACAGGGTTTGAGACTCCAGCGCTGGAACCAAACACACAGCCAGTTATAAAGCTACATCAATTCAGTCTATTACAGATGTGTTTTTTCCACTGTCTTTCTACCAATATAAGGGCGATAAGTCCCCCCAGGGTCCCTGATACAGACCAGATCACTTTGCCAAAGATTTATGAGTCATCTTAGTTCTTACAATCATCCATGGATGAGCATGTCGTTATTATTCCCAGTGTGAGTAAAACAAGTGACAGCCAACAGTGAAATGACTTCTTGCCGCGGGCTGCAGACCGACTAGGCTGGAACCACAGAACCACAGCTCACTCGGCTGGGCGGCTGAGCGTCGGGGTAGCTCAGACCACTAGCGCACTTCCTCAGGAGTTACAAAGGCACGCACCATCACGTACGGCTTGGTTGTAAGAGGGAATGAAGTTCTGACATACGCCATGCGGACGAACGTGACATGAAGCCGAAGAAGCCAGGCACAAAAGGGTTAATACTCCGTGACTGAACTTCCAGGAAACACACAATACAGGCAAATTCCAAGAGCAAGGAAGTAAATAGAGGCGACCAGAACGGGGGACGAGGAAAGAACGGGTGGGGGTGCATGATTGAGTAGGTGCAGGCTTTGTGTTTGGAACAATGGAACTCTTTTTGGAAAGATTGGATCCAGCGTGTTGGTTGAGGCCTGTAACCCCAGAAACCGGGGAAGCTAAGGCAAGAGGATGATAAATTGAGGTAAGCCCGGGCTACATAGTGAGTTCGAGGCCAGCCTAGGCTACACGAGATCCTATCAAAACAGGATGAAAAGGAGGGGCACTGGGAAAACTTCAGGGGCTGGAATACTTCTGGGAAAAGGCCGCGAATACCAAGAACAGCAGATGGCAGGCTTTATGACGTGTGTGTGTGTGTGTGTGTGTGTGTGTGTGTGTGTGAATTTAACATTTTTAATTATTAAATGATTCTGTTGCCAATGAATCCTTAAACCCTGGGTTAAACAGGCTTCTAATGTTAAGGTCCTACAGAGACATGACTTTGCCCCTATGCAGTGTGAAACCCCAGGAGGAGAGTATGGAACAGACTTGAGGTCCTTTTATCCAGAGTGGGTGGCCCCAGAGAAGCCACCTTGGAAACGGCCACACTGAAGCTTATCACCACTCTCCAGATGTCGTCACTGTGCTACAGAGAATGGACTAGTGCCTTGGACTAGCTGAACGTCTGGTGCGGATCTGAGCACCGAGCTGCAGGCTCCTAGTGTTGTGTGTTCGTGGCTCAGTACCCCTTTCACGTGTGAGCAGAGGCCTCTTGTCATTACCGTGTACTTCGGAGCCACCTTGCCGGCCCCCACCTGTGCTTCCTGAACAGCTGGGGTCCCAGGCATGCAACGCCAGGCCTGGTACTGCTGAGCTGTAAGCTACTGAAGGAAATGGAGAAATGCATTCACTTTCCATGCATAATGAGGTATTTTAAAGCGTTAAGCGTGTATGTTGTCTTTATTGTTGTAGTTTCTAGAATTTTAAACTACACGCTGTCTATGACATAATGCCTGTGTCCCCCTACACAATAAGCTATGAGGGGAGCTCAGACATGCTCTCCAGATCTGTAGCTAGGACTCAGCAGATTGTCACCGCACAAGCAAGCAGTCAGACTTTCTAACTTCTCCCCGCCCCTCCCTGGAGAAACTGCAGTATTTTCACTTGATCCACCATCACTTCCTCTGGGTTTTTAGCATCCCTCCAGCCATGACTGCAGGTGAAATTATTTGTCCAACGAAAAAGAAACTTAAGAGCTTAAATATACCTTCATTTAAAACAGAAACTAAATAAAATGAATACAATCACCAATTTCCAAATGAAAATTAAGTTTCTGGACGGGTGAGATGGTTCAGCGGGTAAAGATGCTTGCCACCAAGCCTTTCCGCCTGAGTCTGACCCCTGGGGCCCACGTGGTGGGAGGAAGATCACTTTGAAAGTTGTCCTCTGACCACCACATAAATGCTGAGGTACCCAGGCGCATCCCCTCACCAGATAAACACAAACAAACCAAAAACTAGTTTAAACAAAGGTCCCAAACTTTTCACAACACCGGTGGTCTAATTTTGTAGTTAAGAGGCCAGGTTGAGTTGGACTGTGTGCCCTTAGATATTTAAGATGGGTACTACTACTTCAGTGGGTATGAGGAATTGCATTTCAAACTCACAGCTTGTTCCTGGCATAAAGCAAACGAGGAAATGTGGCTTTTGTCCTTACTCCTCTGCCCGCCATTTCCCACGGGTCTCCTGTATAGTGTGACCATCTCTGCAGGACTGCTAATCCCGAGTTCACATTTCCTTTAGCCAGCAGTGCGGCAGGAAGACAGCCCAGCACAGCCACCAGAGCCTGAGGAGAAATTCCCTCCCAGCTAGAATCCACCTGAGGCAGGGCAGGACTCCCCGCGGCCCCGCCCCCCAGGCTTCTCAGGAAGAACTGGACTGAGCCGGCACCAAAGGCGGGCAGCACCTCAGCTTTACTTTTAAAATCCAAATTTTTAAGTTTTACTTAATCTTTACTTTCTTGTGCATGACATCATTCAAGAAAGCCACAGGGTGAATAAACCACCAAGTGCCACCTAGCAAGACAGTCCCCCAGGAACCCTCACCTGTGTTAAGATTGTGCCCTGTCCTTTTTATAAACCAGAAAAAAGAAAAAACCCTCAACTTTGCTTCATCCTAGCCTTCATTTATTTATTGAGCATATAGGTAATCATTAACAAAACTGAATCTGATGATTGTGTTCACGTGAACATAAAAGCACATATCTCTGTATTCTTTTCCATGTGGTTGTTTAGTGTTTATCTTGGAGATTTATGTTTGTAAAAAATCCTCTAGTTTCTTCAGAATAGTGCATTTATTCCAAATACGTTTGTCTGTCTAAACCACCTTCCTGGGGATTTGATTTCCCCAGTTCTTTGCTATAAACGAACATATGTCTTCTCGTCTGTGAATATCAGTGTTACTCTCGAACAGAAGTTCCTATCTGGGGCTGTCTGGTGATGCCTGAGGTTTTGTGAAGTTGGGAAGGGGTGGGCTACCAGCATCTAGTGGAAACATGTCACTAAATGTCCTACAGGACACGGGACAGCCCCTAACAATCAAGGATTATATAGTAAAACAGCAAAATGCCCTGTTTGGGCTTCTTTTACCACAGAAGCCAAAACTAATGTGGAGTACCTGCTTTAGTTACAGCTGTTGGTATGTAATAATTATTTGTTATTTCTCATGGTTCTTTGTTCTTTCTATCCAGTTGCTTAATGGTCTCTGTGTGTATGTGTGTTGGGGTGCGTATGTGAAGGACCCAGGTGTGGGGTGCATACGTGAAGG